CATCTACTAACAGAGCCATTCAGGCTAATGAAAAAAATTGCTTGGCTGGCCAACTTATAAAAAGTACCTTACTCCAACATTCCTAAAATCAATCACAGTGGTGTAACAAGTCACGAAGACCATAGATAAACCGCAAAATACTGGATCAAGGGGGAAATGATCTTACTAACATGGATAAGTAACACTACTTAGAAAACATACCAGTAGGAGCTTCCATGGTCTGATAACCCCTGTTGCTGCTACTGCTGCCTACTCCGCTACCACGTGCATTACTAGCTGGAGGGAACGTCTGCATACTTGCTTCAGGGACTGCATTTCATTCCAAATCAGTAAGGTTGTAAGTCATTGTTCCCTATTACGATCAAATGCAACAAAATTTCTAATGCTCATAAAAACTTCATACCTTCATAGTTTTTGGGACTCTTTTCTTCAGTGACCACAGCCTAGAAAGATTTGGAAGAACAAGGTAACAAAGTTAGCATGCAGATCATTGAGGATAAGGGAAAAAATTGTAGTACTAGTTCAACTACTCAAAAACCGAATCCTTATAAGTTCTAACACCACAACACAGAAACTGGCAGTGAGCCATTAATGGCAACTTCCCTTAAATCCCAGCAACCTTTGTACGAATCTCCAATTAGATCGCAGGATCAACGAGGAGACACATCCAATATCACAGGGCAATACAAAGAAAATGCAAAACCCAAGCATAAGTTACTTCGCTCTACAAAAGCCCAATCATCACCATTGACTTTTTCGCCCTAGCTACCTCGCGCAATCAATCGAACTCCGTTGTTGCAACCACCAGGAAGAGGAACAAACTACCAATACAAGTCCGAATCAATCCCAGCTTAGAATAAATGAAATAGATACGAATTATAAACTTACGGGCACCGAGCCAAGCAAGTGGCTAGTAGGGAGGTTAGTGAAGGAGTCGTCCTCCATGGCCCGAAGTGGGAAGAGATCGAGAGCGGGGCAAAGATTTTCGAGCAAATCGCAACCCGCGTTTTCACTCCAGGGATTTACAGTTCTTCCTCAAGATTACTTAGAGACAGCCATTTGTAGATTACAAGCTGAAATGCAAATCCGAATTGGGTACTTCTCGAGGAGATTGAAGATATTTTGGGGCTCTGCGACGGAACCCTAGGCGGCAGGGCGCAGCAGCTTTTCTTAGGCTCGAAGCAAGAAAGACCGTGGAGGACGACAAGCAGAGAGAAGCGGAGAGCGAGCCAGGTGCCTGGGTTCTTTTTCCAGTAGAACGGTTTGGCAGTTAACCCGACTGAAAGTAGGTGGCAGCCACGCGCTCCTTGTAGAGCGTGACGAACTTTTCCCCAGTCGTTTCTTGTGCACTTGAGCGCCATTTTCACTTTACAGGTAATCCGACGATAAGCGTGCTTCAAGACTATAATAATTATGTTGTTGCTTTTTAGGCTTAATTAGTAGTGTGTTTGCACCGTATTAACCAATTGTATTAGCTTAATCACATACCAGAAACCAAACTACAAGCTACCCAGTTTTCATACAGCAAAGTGAGCAAACCACAGCTCTAATCAAACCAAATATGTGCAGTTTTAACTTTTATCCAAACTGCAAATTATGTGTTTCTGATGCAATTTGGGCCTCAATTTTACGTGGTTGGGTAGCCCACCCCTGCTTCCCTTCTTTGTGAATCACAACTTAAGCACTCAATTAATAAAGTACCTTAATTTCCTACAAATACTTGTAAAACCTTGATTTAAAGGACATTTTATATGGTACAGAACTACAGATAAGTTGAGGAAGAAGGAAAATGCTAGAAATGAAGAAATTGAAAAACCCTTTATGCTGCCTGATCCGCAAATGAAAGACGCACTGAGCAATCTTGACGCCAGGTACTGCCATTCCATACAAGTTCTAAAGTGAACACTGAACAGAATGACAAGAACGCATCTTGCACAGAGACCTGTCATGGGCCTAGACGAGAATTTACAAAACATAGCTCTAGCACAACCACATATTTTTCCTTTCTTTTTTCCCAGTAGGTAGCTGCTACCCGGCCCGTGGACCTATAAGAAGAGATGTGCGAACTTCGGCGAACATGATGCAATGACGACTAGCAGAAACATCTCCAGAGACAGCGAGGGGTTGCCCGTGGAGGATTATGGCAGGTACAGTGATGGACGTATGTCATCACATGGTTGCCGTGGCCAATCACAGGTCGCTGTAGTTGCGCCAGACTTCGCGGAACTCCTCCCTGAACGTGTTGAGCCTTGCTTTGAGATTAGGTGTTCTGACACTCGCATGGATGATGGTCGCTGTGGATGGAAATGGAATCATCAATCAGCCCACACAATGTCTTGAAGGAATTACTACGAGGCTCACTATTAGAGTCTAGAGGGCCTTACCAAGGAGAGCAATCACGAGTGCCCACAGAACAGTGGACAAGCTGCCTGAAGCAAACCACAAAATCAAACTGACTGCAAAGAAGGATTGTAAAACAGGGAGCATCTCATCAGCCAATACAACACAGAAAGTATTAAAAAAAATCAACTTCAAAGGAACTTAATTATATACCGGATGTGAATACGAAAACGAAGACTCCACGAGGCTGACCGCAGATGTACATCGTCTTCTTGGATGATGGGCGGCCGCGGATGACAGGCCTACGTTAAACATGGCAAGTTAGTTATCTTTTTACTAATAGTCACCCATGAAAGTGAAATTAGGAAAGGTCGCATCAGGATCAGCAACCCACATGTGAGGAGGCCTCATCTTTGCTGCCAAATGAGGAGAAAACTTCCTCACCGTCCTCATCGTCTTCTCACTGAATGTAACTGCAAAGCTGCATCACAAATACTTATCACCTCACCAAAAAATATGAAAACAAGCAATTTCTGATAAAATAATGATTTCCCACTCCCATTTTTTCGTGGTCACAAAGTTAACCTAGTAAAAGAACAACTTAGAAACAAGTTCACACAAATAAGATGGATTCGATATATAGCAAGGAACAAAGCAGAAAAAACAAACTTCAGGGAAGAAGGGGTAACAGAATCCAGTTAGATTTCTTCCTTTAAGCATAATTAAGCTTTCTAGCTAACTCACAGGTTATTCTGGCACACTATAAAAAGCTACATTGCATGACATGTTTTAAGTTACATATCTGAAGTTTGTTGCCAGAAGAAAGCTACAAAAGAAATGAAAACTGAAAGGAATAAGAGACGCTAGATTCCTTCACTAAACGAAAAATCAGCTTTCATACTAACTCACTGATTATCTTAAGGTATATCACAAACAACTGACTTACAAATGTTCTTCAAGCTACATATCTACAGTAAGTGTCTGGAAGAAAGGTACAAAATAGGCTGCCAAGGCTATAGAAAAAAATGAAGTCGACAAACCAATACTGATCAAGCACTCACAATCCTACGTTCTAGGCACAAGTCTGCTGCATCTAGTTTTTCAGACTTGTGCCTAGTATTTTCAGTGGAGCATAAGTCAATAAGGTCTGCTGCAGCAGATTAACAACAGCAGGGTTTTAGCAGATACTTTGAGAAATGACCACTAACTGATTTCCAGTAACAAAACCAGTTAAACTATACTTCCATCACAAGTTCCACTATAGTCCTATTTGAGCTAGGCACTGGCTTTTCAGTTCAACCATTTAGGCCACCATTGCTAATTGGCAGGTGATCCATAGCAAAGGAAGACAACAGCAAGAACAGAAGATTCCTAACATTCCCATGATGCAAAAACATTCACAAAACCCAAAACTTACCTATCGTTTAGGAAAGCAAGGCTTAGAGCAGTCAAAGCAGCAGCAACTATTGCTAAAGGCCTCATGATACAGGCAACACCTGAAACGAACCACGAGTAAATAGGACGTCAGCTGCAACCTAATAAAACTTCCAGCTAAACCGTGTACAAAAAGCTAAAGCCCAATGGGTTTCTTCCCCATTTCTTACCAAGAGTGAGCACAATCAAAATGAAGTAGTTCGTCCTGTAGCTGCCAAAAGGGAAAAGCCCTAATTCAGTAAACAGTGGCTAAAACAATCCCGAAATTCAACAATTTTAGTTCTCTCAAGCGCATCTGAGAGCAGGATAGCGAAACGGGCAAAAACAATCCGATCGACGGGAACGAAGAAATCGGCCTGGGGTTGTTAAGGAGAGAGCACTCACTAATACAGATTGCATTTGAGGCGGCTGCTCCACTTGGGGTAAGATCGGGTGATGTTGAATTTGGAGAAGAATTCGTTGAGAGGACGGGGCGGAGAAGACCAGTCGACTTCTCTTAGAGCTCCGATCAGATCATCGGCCGTTACACTTCCCCAATCCATCGTACTATCCCGTCTTCCTTGGTACAGCTAGCTCCGATCAGCTAAAATTAATAAACCCCGACGCCTAAAAGTAGAGAACGACGATCGACCGTGGCTTGCTTTTCGCTTACGATGCAGTCGCCGGCCGAGGAAAAAGAATTCCCAGCTACGAGCAAACTAGGAATCGGCGATGGAGCGAGCCTAGGCTCTTGAATTTTGACGCGGTCGTTGGCTGAGAACCGAGAATTGCTGTGGCAGGTCGAGGAAGATTTGGGTTATTGCATCGGCTGTTCTAACGAGACGAAGGTTCTGGAGTTTTTGTCGAGTTAAGCAACGTGTGGAACACTGGAACTTGAATTTCGAACGCGTAGAGTGAGAAAAAAGATATAAAAATAAATAAATAGCTCTAAAAAAAATGAAATGTCTGAGCCCAGGTTCGAACTGGGGACCTTTAGTGTGTGAGACTAACGTGATAACCAACTACACCACCCAGACATTTGATGTTAAAAACGATGATCTCTGGTTTATATTTAATATGTTTACTTACACGAAAACTAAGGTGAGACTATGTGGAAACTGATATAACAATTTGGCCAAAGCTCCAAAAAAGTGATTCGGTTTTACTCTGGATAGTAAGAGTGGAAGTTACTGGTGCAATTGTTTCTTCCCTGATTAATTCTTTGCAACTGACTAGCTATCTAGCTTTTAACAGAGGCGATTTGATTGAATGACTGACTGCTCTCTATTTGCTCATGATACATCCATGATCTAAGAATAATTGCATGACGAGCTTCCATAGGCATTGCCTTCAAGTAGGCGGAAGGAATGGAATGAAATTGTGAAGCACATTACCAAGCAGTGGCGATAGGAATGAAATTGTACACAAACAACACAAGAGCATCCACATCAATTCAACAATAGCTGCCCGACTCGTCGCCCGGGTCAACTGCATTCAAAGTTGTAGCTTATGTGACCCAGAACATGTACTTCAAAACTCAAGCTATCTCAGAGGGTGAAAAGAAAATGCAACAAGAATCCCAAACTCACCTCAAGATTACATTGCCTATCAATAAAGACACACATACAGACAAGGCAAGACTACTACACGAAACAGCAATCCGCCAACCAACTGCTAGTGTAAAAAAGGTCGATCAGATCAAATTCCATACCATATCAATCCTGATGCTCATTATCTCTTCTTGAACCCATATTTCTTACGCTCATAGAACAAGTCGGTTTTCGCACTACCCAAATTCACGATCTTGGGACAGCCGTCTCGGTCTTTCTCCTGCTGCGTGCACTCTTTGCAGTAGTACGCATCCGATATGCCTACTCCTCCACAGATGACACAGCGACCCTGGAACGATCCGTAGTTGCACTCGTCGCAAACTCGCACCAGCGTGCAAGGGCGCACGTAGGAGTCGCAGATCACGCATTTGCCATCACACTTCTCGCAGAGTCGTCCAATGGCGATGCCTGGTTGTTTCCTGCACATGATCAAATCAGGATGATGCTTGGCCATGGCTGCTTGCTTTTACTCTGCAACAGCAGTCAATCTGCAAGCATTCATAGACACCCTAATTATAGTCAGGAACATTGCTTTGTTTCACAGAAATTTAAATCTCCAACATAGAGGAAATTCCCATCTCCAAAAGCAGACAGACCTAATAACTGACAGCATGATTCCTCTCGGCAACCAAGTAAACTACGAGACCTGGCATCAGTCAGACTACTTGAAATGATTCACAATAAACCCCTATCTCTAACCAACCGCACATTTGCAGGCAATTGCTTTCATAATTTCAAACAATACGCCCAGTGGAAGAGCAAGTGGGAGCTAAGATGCAACATTTAACATAAATTCATCATCCCCGGAAGAGAGACAGACCACTGATAGCGAGGAGGTGCCCGGACAAAAGGTAAAAAAAGAAAAAAAGAAAAAAGAGGAAGGTGGGAAACCCTACAGCAACGACGAATTGACAGGAATCCAAGAAAAGCTCCATTAACATGAGGCACTTGAAGACAAGAACACTTCATGTGGAAATCAAAAGGAAGATGAAGAGACGAACCTGCTTAAACGAGCCTGTTCTGCCCTCAATCTCGTCGGAATGGAAACGGCAAACGCCTTTGTCCTTACCGGAGCGGCGAGATATGCAGAGAGAGCTTAGAGAGAGTGCCGAAAAGGAGGAGAAAGTAGAACGGTGGACTGATGTAGAAGAACCCAGAACTTGAATAAAAAGCCCAACAGACACTCTGTTGCACCGACCTGAATCAGTATGTGGTGCATTACAGAACTTGAATAAAAAGCCCACGATACGTGAGATTCCGCTATCACGCATCAGTATGGGCTTGAGCTTCAACCTTTTTGTCTGAAAAAATACAAGAACTCTTTTGGGCTTCACAGGATGGATAATGATATACGCCAATATCCCAACCGTCAGTAGGTGTACATGTCAGGTGGTCCGGATTTAAAGCATTTTAATCAATACATTATTGGAAAATATTAAATTCAAACCCACCAAAAAATATTAAAATTTTACGGTTTGTTTTTAATTGGGTTGGGTTGGGTTAACACTATTCTTAAGTAAAAATCCAACCGAACACACAATATGTAATTATTCTACATCATAAAAATATTTAATAGCTAATTAAAAATTCAATCGAATAAACCGAGGTGAAAGGTATCAAAATTCACATAATTTGTTTGAATTTTAATAAAATTTGATTTACTTCAACTTATGTCTAATTTTTTTTCACGACATTTGTTGAAATAGGCTAAACAGTAAAAAGGTTATAAACAAAAACAAACGCATCCATAATATGTTATTCTATTAAAATTGTACACAAGAAAAAAGATGACGTGAATCATAGCTATATTAAATTTATATCTAAACTTTAAGTTGAAGAATGCATTAGGTTAGTGAGACCATGAGAGAAAAACATGATGAAATATCTTAATTTTTTCATAAGTATGGCTATATACGACATAAATATTTTTTTGGATACGAACTCATACCAATATTTGGAACACGGGTTGGGTCGGGTTCTACAGGTTGTATAATCTAAAATCCAAACCGAACCCAAAAGAGGTGGGTTGTAAAAAAAAAAAAAACCTCACCCAACCCAAACCCTTCATTTCGGCAATAAATACAAGTGGGTTGAGTCGAGTTGAACGGGTGGATCGGTTTGTGGGTCACCCCTACCCAACAGCTCTTGTCTTATTCCGTTGCTTTGAAGGGCGAAATTGGCAATTCCCCCCGAAAGTTACCAACCAAGAACCAACCAGTGTTTTTCAAGCTTTTTATATCCAATCTCTTTCCCCGCCACCAACTGCTCCGCTGCCTCTCCACTCGCTACACGCTCGCCGCCGCCGTCTTTGTCCCCTTCCGCCGCCTGCCGTTCGAGTAGTTCGATATGGCAGACGGTGAGTTCTGAGAAAATTCGGTCAAATCCGTCCGACCTGCTGCTTTCTGTTCCGTTCCTAGAGTCAATTCTGTCTGCCGTTTTATTCTTTCACTTCCACCTTGAGCTTGCTATTGATGTTGCTTCGTATATCACAGGCGAGAATGAATCTCCGGCTGCTCCCACGCCGTACGACGAGGCGATGGAGGCCTTATCTTCTATGATAAACCAGCGGACTCGGGGCACTAAGACCACCATTCAATTCGATTTACTCTTCGATTACCTGAAGGTTGCTTACCTTCCACCAACTCAAGTCAAGATCAATTCCCCTAGGCACTCGTTTTTTTAGTCTGTTTCATTGGTTGGGGGAGTTCGATTGAGCTTCTTTCCTTGTTGCCTGCTTGGCTCTCAGATTCTGGAGCTGGAGGATGCACTTGATGGTTTGAAGATTGTTCATGTGGCAGGCACCAAAGGGAAGGTAATGCTACTACTATGTTGCTTCTTAATTACTATCAATGGTTATAATCTTAGCTATGTTACTTGTGGACAAGTTCTAAGAACGGTAGGTGTGACTGCAGGAAGCACTAGAAAGCGTGAATTAAATTTTGCATAGTTTTATGTATAGGGTTGCTGTTTAATTTTGCTATAATTTGCTTTCTGATTTCGGCGAAGGGTTCAACTTGCACATTCACGGAGTCTATTCTGAGGAATTGCGGATTTCGAACTGGGCTTTTCACCTCACCCCACCTCATTGATGTCCGAGAAAGGTTTCGTTTGGATGGGTGAGTTGCCCATGTTGTTTTTTAATGATGATTAGGATTTTGTAGATATGATATAGGTTCGCTAGTTGAAGAAGAATTGTGCTGCTTCTATTGTTTTCTGCTCACTGTATGGTTTCTGTTATTCTTGATTCCTTTCCCAGGTTTTTATATTGAAGGCTTGTTCATATTACTTGTAAAGGTTAACATTACAGTCTCTTGTTGGCTATTGCAGTGTTGATATATCCCAGGAAAAGTTTCTGGCTCATTTCTGGTGGTGTTTCAATAGATTAAAGGTGATTCTCATTCTTGTTTTGACTTTTTCTCTTCATAAATAGAACATACTGGTTGGTGTTAGTTTGTATGAAGTTTCCTCATCACACTGGCCACTTCATCAATATGAATTAGAGTGATGCATTATCCTTCTCTTTTTTTCAGTGTTATTAAAGCCAAGCTGAGCCGCTCGGCCCGACCGGTAAAACCGCCACCCGGTCACAAAACCGGCTCGGAATAGTCTAAAAGCCGCTCCGGTTTTATGTAGCGGTTGGCGAGCGGCCGAGGCGGTTAACCGTTCGAGCCGATCGAGCCGCTTATCCGGTTTTTGTCATTCAGCCACTAAATTTAATTAAAAAAATTGTAGAAAATTGAAAATTGAAATAAACCAAAAACGTCGGGCTCTCAAATTGAATCCTTATTTCCATTTCACAATTTCGAAGGAAAGAGATGAGCTTTGATTAAGAAATGTCCACTATTTATACTGATAACGTTTATTAGATACCGGTTCTCTAACGGTTTTTAAACGGTCTAATGCCGGTTGGACCGTTAAAGTGCGAGCCGTTCGCATTACCGGGTCATGCTCCGGTTCGGTTCTGACAACATTGCAGTTTTTTTGCTTTTGCGATCGAGGCAATTAGCTTGGTTTTGGTTTATAAAATACCTGAGACGAAATAAATACTAGTGCAAAATATTTCCTTTTGTGGAACGTTGTGGACTGAAGACACTTCAACTGGAATATCTATTTGAAATAGCATGGCCCTCCATAAGTCGCCTAAGTTCCTCTTTGATTGGTATCAGACTACTTGTTTTTCATTGATTTTGGACCATAGCCACGTTGCTGAATTTGGAAGGTATGGGCAGGAAAGGACAACCGAAGATTTACCCATGCCTCCTTTGTTTCGCTTTCTTACGCTACTTGCCTTCAAGATCTTTGCAGCAGAGCAGGTTCATATATGTATTTATTGCGTCTTCCACACTGTCTCTCCTGTTTATCCTCTGAATGCCAGCTCATTTGGAATCTGATGCACTAAGTTTCTTTGTGCAGGTAGACGTTGCTATTATGGAAGTTGGATTAGGTGGGAGGTTCGACGCGACAAACGTGGTATGCAATTATGTGGTTTGAGGTGTGAGTAAGTGCACCTGAGTATGATTTTTGTTGCACCTTAGTTGATGTCAGGTCCTTAATGTGAATGTATGATGCCATGTTTCAGGTTCAGAAACCTGTTGTATGTGGCATAACTTCTCTTGGGTATGACCATATGGAGATTCTTGGTTAGTGCTCTTTTCTCTAGCCTTGGCAATTACTAATGGTAATTGGGAAATGTGTGCCAACTGTTGCTTTCTTAGGATAGCTATTTAGGATTTCCATCTATTAGTTTCCTATTTCTTGCTCTGCCAATTCCATTAAGCTCAAGTTTTATTTTCCTTCATGCTTCACAGGGTACACCCTTGGAGAAATTGCTGGTGAAAAAGCTGGTATTATAAAGGTTTGTTTACCTTAATTCATTTCCATCTGGTGAAATTCTTCATGATCCTGACACATAATGTTATGTTTTGATGTAGCGTGGTATTCCTGCTTTTACAGTGCAACAGCCTGATGAAGCAATGTGTGTTCTTGAAGACGAAGCTTCCAGTTTAAATGTCAGTCGTAGGTTTCATAATATTATCCCAGTATTGGAAAAGGATTTTTTTTTATGGGATTACTCGGAAACCTAAAACTTTTAGTTTGGTTGTTAATGCTGAGTACAGGTAGATCTTCAAGTTGTACAGCCGTTGGATGTCAATTTGCTAAATGGCTTAAAACTTGGTCTTGAAGGTGAGCACCAATATGTTAATGCTGGTCTTGCCATTGCACTTTCTTTCACTTGGCTGAGGAGGACTGGTCATCTTGAACTTGCCAACCAGGAGCACGCTGTAAGTTTTGTGCTTTTAGTTATATTGGGAAGCAAGTTATATTCGTAGTATTACTTTCTCAATCTTTCTTCCATGAAACAGGGCTCACTGCCTGAGCAGTTTATTAAGGGGTTAACAGCAGCCACTTTTCAAGGCCGGGCCCAGATTGTCCCTGATCAATATGTAGATAGTGAAAACGATGGGGATCTTGTGTTTTATTTGGATGGTGCCCACAGTCCTGAAAGCATGGAAATTTGTGCAAAATGGTTTTCTGGTGCTGTTAAAGGTGAGAACCAACCTGGTAAAGTGAAAGCACAAGTGAGTTCATCCACACATCAATTAAAGAAGGATATCATGCAGGTAAGCATCAACGTTCAACCCTTTAATCAATTTGCTCTCCATGAGTGAGCTCCTGTCCGAGACAGTAGGTGAAAGTTGAAATTAGCAAGGCACTGTCCCTGCAGAAGAATGTCCAATTGTCGTTTTTATTTTTGGTTCGCTGGCGGACATCCACAACAAGAAAGTCAAAATACCAAGGACTTTTCTGGTTGTTAGGCAACTATCTCTATTTCTTAGCAAATATCAAGTATTCATTCTCAAGTTTCTGTAGTCTTTTGGTTAGTCAATTCCACTGAAGAGCGAAACAGTAATGTATTGTAATCAGATGATTAATGAGAAGTGGAGAGTATTAGGGCGTAATCTTAATCCTGATAAGTCGGGTCTAAGCCTAAATGAGTTCTTATATATGTCTCTCCTTTTTTTTTTTTTTTTGTTCTCCCTCGTTTTTGTTTGCAAGTAATTTCCTGAATATTATTTTGTACAGCCTGAAACTCTTTTGTTTGTCATTTTCTAAATCAGGTATTTGATCCCTCTTCAGCTGAAAGAGTACAGCTTGAGGTCCTTCCCCAAATTTTAGAGCCCAAACATTCTCAAATTCTATATTCCTTCCAATACCAGACTTAAAAGACAGCATTGACCAAGCATAAAAAAATAAATTTGAAATTGATTCATGTGGCAGCTCTCTTGAATACATTTTTGTATCATTGCTGAATTTGAGCATCCCAGTGATTGAGAATGCTTGGCATTTGGCAAAGCTAAAATCATCCAGTTTTTTT